TCTGGACTCGTTCGAGCACCTCGATGTCCTTCTTGTAGCGAGGGGCCCAAAACTGAACACAGTACTCGAGGTGTGGCCTCACCAGAGCCGAGTACAGGGGGACAATCACTTCCCTAGACCTGCTGGCCACACTGTTTCTTATGCAAGCCAGGATGCCGTTGGCCTTCTTGGCCACCTGAGCACACTGCTGGCTCATATTCAGCTGACTATCAACCAATACTCCCAGGTCCTTCTCTGCCAGGCAGCTTTCCAACCATTCCTCTCCCAGCCTGTAGCTCTTCTTGGGGTTGTTGTGCCCCAGGTGCAGGACCTGGCACTTGGCCTTGTTGAACTGCATACAGTTGACCTCAGCCCATCAGTCCAGCCTATCCAGATCCACCTGCAAATCCTTCCTACCCTCAAGCAGATCGACACACGCACCTAACTTGGTGTCATCTGCAAACTTACTGAGGGTACACTCGATCCCCTCATTCAGATCATCGATGAAGATATTAAAGAGGACTGGCCCCAGTACTGAGCCCTGGGGGACTCCACTAGTGACCTGCCTCCAACTGGACTTGACTCCATTCACCACAACTCTTTGGGCCTGGCTATCCAGCCAGCTTCTATCCCAATGAAGCGTATGCCAGTCCAAGCCACGAGCAGCCAGTTTCTTGAGGAGAAACTGGCCTTTCTATTTTTGTCCCTGCAAAGACTCACAACATCGTTATAGTCCTTCTGAGTGGTCCGCCCTCTTTTCCAAGAATTATAAACCCTCTTTTTTTTCCAAAGCTCTGGTCACAAATCTCTGTTCAGTAAGGCCGGTCTTCTTCTATGCCAGCTTGTCTTTGGTCACATGAGGACAGACAGCTCCTGAGCCATTAAGATTTCCTTCCTGAAGAATGCCCAGCCTTCCTGGGCTCCTCTGCCCTTCGGAACTGCCTCCCAAGGGACTCTACCAACCAGTGTCCTGAACAGCTCAAAGTCAGCCCTCTGGAAGTCCAATACAGCGGTTTTACTGATCCCCCTCCTGTCTTTGCCAAGAATAGAGAACTCTACCATTTCGTGGTCACTCTACCCAAGACAGCTCCTGACCACATCTCCCACCAGTCCTTCTCTGTTTGGGAACAGAAGGTTTAGTAGGGCACCTCCCTTGGTAGGTTCACTAACCAGCTGCGTCAGGAAGCTATCTTCCACGCTCTCCAGAAACCTCCTAGACTGCTTTCTTTGGGCTGTGTTGTGCTTCCAGGATATGTCTGGGAAGTTGAAGTCCCCCATGAGAACAAGCGCTGACGATTTCGCAACTTCTGCCAGCTGCCTGTAGAGCTCCTCATCTGTCTCCTCATCCTGGTTCGGCGGTCTATAACAGACCCCCACCAGGATGCTTGCCTTGTTGGCCTTCCCGCTGATCCTAACCCATAGAGTTAGGATCAACGTTATCATTCCCAGCCTCGAGTTCCGCGACATCAGAACACTCTCTGATATAGAGAGCCACAGCACCACCCCTTCTGTGCTGCCTGTCCCTTCTGAAGAGCCTATGGCCAGTCAGTGCAGCACTCCAGTCATGGGAGTGGTCCTACCACGTTTCAGTGGTGGCAACCAAGCCATAGCTTGCCTGCTGCATAATGGCTTCCAGATCCTCCTGTTTGTTACCCATGCTGCGTGAATTAGTGTAGATGCACTTCAGTTGGGTCATTGCCTTCTTACCCAGGAGGAAAACACCACCTGTACTCCTGCTCCATCTACTATTTGTCCCAGTCCCCTAAAGTCCTGTTTGATAGCCTTGAGGCTTCTCTCAACAATATCATCATTGCCAGCCTGGGCTATCAAAAGAGGATAGGAATCAGAGGGGTGAACCAGGTTTTGGAAGCTTTCTGGCAATGTCCCTGACCCAGGCCCCAGGGAGGCATCAGACTTCTCTACGGGTAGGGTCAGGCCGACATATAGGGCCCTCTGTTCCCCTGAGAAGGGAGTCGCCTACAACGATTACCCTTCTTTCTTTCTTAGTGGAGGCAGTCCTGAGGCGTGGAGTCGACTTCCTTGCCCTAGGCATCCTCTTGGGTAGACTTTCCACCTCATCCTCACCCACCAGTCTCTCAAGCTCCAAGGTCTCAAACCTGTTGTGTAAGGGCACCTGGGAAGTTGAGGCTGGTAGGGAAGGGGTTTGCCTTCGTTGCCAAGCAGGGACCTGTTTCCTCTTCATCTCCTAGGTCCCCTCCCTCTGTCCAACAGCAACAGGGCAGAGGGTCCACCACTGTTTGGGGTGTCTCACCCCTGTGCCTTTCCTTCAGGCCTGATTTAAGGAGCAGGACAGCATCTATATCACAGAAGGAATAGCTCTTTTATTTTCCTTCTGAAAGAAAAGGAAAAAGCTGGAAAGTTTTCACACTTGTGAAAACACTTTCTTTCAAAGGTTTTGAGAGAACAAATGAACTATACAGATGACGAAAGCTGATGAAAACTGGGAAAATATTGTCATAAACAGACATTTCCAAAATACATTTCCACCTGGATGAAAGCCACTTGCATTCTTTTTTTTTTTTATTCCTTCTAATCTTGTTTTGAATGAAATCACTTCTAAGAAGGCTCTCAGCAAATCTGGAGTTGCCCCTCTGATTATAAGGACTGACTGTTTAATTGCCAATAGTTTTATCTTTGTCAAATGAAGCAAATCTGGTGAGTTTGGCTGGGATCACCCTTATTGCCTTGAGAAGACCCTTTATACAGCAGGCAACATTTTTTGTTATACAGTATTTAAAGTCCAAAGCATCCTTATTTAGCCAGCAAAGAAACCCATTATCAGAAAAAGATACTTCAAGTTTTGAATGCTGCACACAGCTGCTGAGATGCAGAGGAGAGAAAATAGCTGAGAACACCTGCAAGGGAAGAATATATTAAGCTATATTCAATGGAATAAACCTGACAAAGGATTTTATGCCTGATTTTTTTTATAAAAGGAAGAAAACTTGCGAAAAGGAGGCAATAATAAACTAGGACGATGCATTTCCCGGTAGGTGATAAGTAAGCTGAGGGATAGCTGCAGGATGCCGTGATGTACTCTGCTGTCACAAAGATTTTATACAAAGGCTGGACAACCTGTTCAATAAATCAACATAGATCTATCTTTTTTTTTCCCCGGGTATCTGCTTGGAAACTCACAGCCACATTATAATGCCTGCACAGTGTTTGTTAACTTGGCATACCCTTTCCATCATCTCCAATCCTATGCTGTCTCTTGGGGGTGAATCATCTTTCTATAACATAGAGCACATGGTACCATGTGATGGTCCTTGTCCTTGCTGGGGAAAAAACAAAACAAAACAAAACAAAACAAAACAAAAAAAAACAACTAAAAAACACAGAGGAGGTTTGCACAAAGGTACACTCATATCCTAACAATCATATACAGGTCACACTGGGTACCCAACGTTTTCCTCACCTCTCAAACACTCTTGATTTCAATGGGAAATGTTCTTGACAAACTGATACAGACTATAGTCTCTGGGAATTAATGGGAAAATTTGTTTTGCTATTTTTGAATTAGATTCTGACCTTTTTTGAAAGGAGGAATTCCAGATAACTTCAGTCATCAGAGTAGACCCCTGCACTTGGATCTTATTCAGTCTTCCCTTCCTTTCTTGTGCACTGCCCAAGTCTACCACCAGTAAGGTAGTTACTGAGATCAACTGGCTGATGTAAATTTGGAGAAGAGCCACTTGATGGTCAGAGAAATAAATAGAAAGAGTGCAGCTTTCACATAGGAAGTGATCAGTTAAAACTGACAAGACTTTGAAATGTGGCTAGTACAAACAGCTTGGGCTATTTGCATCCTAGATCACACACTTCCCTGGGTTGGAAGGTATCAAGGAAATGATGAGTGAATTTAGTTGTCAACCTAAATGTATTGAAAATATTGACTGGAAGAAAAGGGGCAGGGTTAGTCTCAGATGCTCAGCAAGGATTGTGTCTATTTATAAGTGAAAGGTTTGTTCACCAGGAAAGACAGATTCATCCAGGCACCATGGACCTCTTCTTATGAACTATGTGGTGAGTTCATTTTTCAAGAAAAATCATGCAACCTGCAATGGAAGCCATGAGGACTTCTGCTGGCACAGATAGCTGCTGCAAATTTAGAATCCTGCCACAGAGCATAGTCCTGCCTGAGACAGAAGCATCCCTGCAAGATGACAGCATTTGCACCACAGATGTGAGATAGCCCTGCATATCATAAAGCTGGCTCCCAAAAGTTTGGGAGGATAAACAAACAAACAAACAAAACCATCAAGTCTTCCAGCTCTTGAAATTCCATTCTTCCTCAAGAACTTCAGGATTTTCATCTTTTCCATAAGCATTTTAGGATCTTTTCAGAAACAGCAACTTGTCTCAGTCTTTGATGTTTTACATCTTGGGAATATGGTAGAAAAGTTCCTTGTTTCTCTAATCTACTGGGACATCATGGGACTACATAGATAATTAGATCTACACTGAATTAGGAGTTATTTGGGGAACCATAAATCTAATTTTTCAGATCTGTAGCTTATCATTGCAAATTCTTTCACACAGACTCTATCTCTAAACATTTATATCAAGACAATGGTGTGTATTAACATAATCAGAGTCTGACGGGATTTTTATCTGTCAAGAATTTCATCCTCTGAGTCCATGACTCATTATGTATGCAACAATGAAAAGGAGAAAAAGTAACTGCCAAGTATTCAGATAGTAACAGTAACGCTTTGGCAGCGTCCCCTGCAAGCTTTGTCTTTTAGTCGTTCTTCAGCTTGTTATAAATGAAGTCTCAACTCAATCTGAATTTAGTAATATTTATACTTATAAAAGGTATAAAAGCTATAAAAGGTATAAAAGGCAAGTAAACAGTGCTGGGTGTGCGGGGAGTCTACGCTCCACCAACACGCACACACAAACATCAAACATTCTAAATATACAAAACATTGCTTTTACATAATAAACTTGAGTATGCCTATACATATGCACATTCAGAAAAGGTAACAAACAATCCTTTAGCTTACCTTGTTGTCTTTGCCCACAAACTTAAACATGGGAGCCTGGAAATGCTTGGCGAGATGGTCTTTTGACGTGTACTGTTTCACCGAATCATCAGAAACACAGCCGTCTTGAATCAGGTAGTACTTGAGGATCTCATCGATTTTGGAGGTGGGAGTGGCAAAGCAGCTCTCTATCAGCGTCTCCAGTCCATTGACATGCACCAAGGGTTCAATCCCAAAGTACAGAGAGTCCCGAAGCTTGAGGGTGGGAAGGGCACCCCTGTAGGGTTCATCAAAGTCTTTATCTTTGAAGATCTCAAGAGTGAAGGGGAAGATGCCCTGGTTGCGACTCATTATTTCCAAGGGCGAGTTCTTTAGGTTGGGCACGTAACCTTTGGAGATGGTGTACCGGCGTGGGAACTCGCAGGTCACTGGGATCAGCAGCTTGCTAGTGCGGATGATGATGTCCCCGTTGCTCCCTGGAGTCTGCTTTGGCAAGCCAGTCACCAGATTGGTGGCAATGATTTTATCATTTATCACATCCACAACGGTGCCGCAGGACTTCAAGGAGAAATGGATGTTGACATGAGTGCCATTAGATACCCCTTTGAAGGAAGTGTTGATTTAAAGATCAAAGCCAAAATTTCTTTAAGTGGTATATTCTTTATTGCAGCGCTGGATGCACGGGGGATCCTTCCGCCTATCGTGCATGTTCGAAGTGACAAAATATCTCATATTTATACAGCGAAACAATGAATATTCAATTAGCACCCATACATATTCATTACCTAATCCCGCCTACCCTCGCTTCGTATGCTAATTAGCTTATCAGTCCTTGCGCTTGCGCAAAGCCTTCCAAGAATTGTGGGCCGGGGTCTCCAGGATGTGGGCAGTGGTCTTTGGGAGGAAGGCCGTAGGTCTTCCTCGTAATGCACTTTTCACCTTTGCTTAATCAGTTGTTTTCCAAGCTGTAAAAATGCTGAGTTGGCTTTCAGTTTAACTGAGGGTCGGCAGATAACAGGAAGTCTCAGTTAACAAGACAAGACAATTGACTCAAGTTATCTCAAGTCTCAGCCTGACTAAGGGTTAACAGATACTGGGATGTTTTCAAATAACAAGATGCTTAAACATAACAAAAGGTCTACAGATAACAAGATGTCGTTTACTTTGTCCTTGCTAACTTTTAACCACAAGTTTTATTCTATCCTAAAGTGAGTTTATACTATATCAGTGTTGATGAGGGAAAGGTCCAGGCCTCCAACCAGGTCCTTTGGGATGCTCACCTCAATAGAGCTGGACTTGCACAGCACTGGAACTTGGCAAGTGTGGTTGTCTTCTGACAGAACAAGTCCCCTTGGACATTCACATTGGTATGAGTCTTCCACTTCAAAACAGGTATGGCTGCAGCCTCCATTGTTATTGTGACAGCCTTCGATTTAATCAGGAAAGAACAATCCTCTAAGTTCCATGACTTACTAAACTCGAGTACGCCTATACATATGCACAATCAGAAAAGGTAACAAACAATCCTTTAAGTTCCATGACTTAACAGTCTCCATTTTCGATTCCTTTTGAACAATATGTCTCGCTTTAAGTTGTTAAGCAACTCGGTCTTCAGGCCTTATGTATCCTGTTCTTCCCAGACTGAAGAAAAACATATCCATCTCCTTTTCAAGGCCAATGAGGCCTGGGTCAAAAGGCACGTTCAGGTCACCAGGGGACGTAACAGCAAAGCCTTCGATGGCTGTAGCAGCAGAGGGGCCCATGGAGTAGCAGTCGGATCAGTAAAGGAGCCCGCAGCTCCCTCACTATCTGGCAAGTCACACGTTTGTGATTGTGGCCCCACATGGCTCTTTAAGGCCTCAGAGATTGCTCGCCAGGTGCGGAGCAATCCCACTGCAACCTTGTCATTTTTAGTTGCAGAGTCCCACACCTTGACCTCAGTTTGATCCCATATTTCAGGCTCATAAATTGTCCAATTGTTAATAAGGAGGTTACCAGGACAGTCTTTGTTCCTAAGGACGTTTGATTCCCCATAACACGCAACTGCTTACCAGCGAGAGGCAGTTGTGTGCGCGGGTCCGCTTCTCTCAGCTTGAGCTTCTTCCCAGCTCCAGTGCACCTATTTCTAGCGACTTTCTGTATGAGCTTCTCTGAGAGGTTTGCTGAGTAAGGCCAAACCTATGCTCATGAAGCGATCAATGTGCCTGTTCCCGTCCTGGTCTCCGTTCTGCCAGCCTGTTCCTTTACATTCCTTCTTTCTGCTTCTTTATTGATGACATAACTTCATCACATCGTGTTGCCTTTTTTTATCTCAAAGGCAGGCTCCCCTCTTATACCCTTCTCTCCACAGCAGTTCTTTTCAAAACAACTTTTCATTGGTCAAACAACTTCGAAAATAACAGCAACAGTAAACACCCCCAAACTTCCATGCCTTAAGGGCTGGAGAACAAGAAACCAGAGACTGCATGGAGTCTCCTGAATCACCCTTCTTTGTTCCCTCTAAACTCTTTTACATTCCTGATGGCCTCGTCGTTAAGAGTCTAATGTTATCTCAACCACGGGGTTTTCCAACCCCCATGGCCACATTCCCAAATCTCCCCCTTCTTTATTAATATCAACCATTTTCTCGACAAAAATTACCACTCCATATATAACAAGGTGGTAATGTTTCTTACACAGCGATTTTTGCCTAATTGCTCTAAGGATTCTGGTTGTCTGCATTTTACAAGGTTGTCTGTTAAGCTTTTTAATTACCACTCCATATATAACAGTAGCCATCCAGGTTTTAAGAATTGATCCAGTAACTTTGTGCACAGACCAAAGTAAGAAATATTAAGTATTGCCTTGGGGGTCGAGTGATACTCTGTGTTGTGTGATTGAGACGTACTTTTGTATGAAGCGAATGTGGAGTCCTGATCCGCAGTTCCATAGCTCCACGAGGGGCGCAGCCAGAGACGGACGAAACGTGAGATAAGGGAGAGAAAGGAAGAGTCTCGGGAAATTTGGTATACGGTAAGCCCTTGCATAGGGAAGTGCTTGGCAGGACACCAGGGAAATTTGGTGTACAGTAGCCCTTGCACGGGGAAGTGCTTGGAAGTACACCAGGGAATGTGGTAAACTCATAGGTGTGAGCCACACAAAATGAGCCAAGTTACAGCAAAATGAGCCAAGAAAGAAGCATGTAGAGAGTTTTCCAAGGATTTAAGGTTAAATAAGACACCATCTTTCAGAAGTGTAATGAATGACAAGTAAGAAATCAAGACCTTCAGCCACAGGAAAAAATCACACTTTTACTGTAAGGGAGGAAGCTTAAAAGAGAGTGTCATAATGGAAGTGAACCAATATTTTTTTAGTGCATGTAACAGAGTCATTTTTAACCCCCAACACAGAACAACCCATGTGAAGTCAGCTTAATTATTGGTTAAAGGAAGATGACAGTTTTGTGTGATAATTTTCTCAGATTAAACTTATTTTTTAAATTATATTTAAATGATTTCTAAGGGGTGAATCAAATGGTGGCGTGTTTTAGAATGCTGGTTGTTGGGGGGTGATGAAAAGCCAGGTATATTTAAAAACACCATCCCATAAACTCCTGCTCTGCACTCTGCAGAGTATCTGCCTCCCCTGCCATCATAAAGTATACCTGAGACAAGAAGAGAGTTGCAGTTTTGCATGACTGAACAAGAGGAACACAGGAAGAAGGGGAACAAAGGTGTAAAACCTATTTTACCTCTGCTGGAGCATTGGTCATATGATTTAAGTGAGCAGCGGTGGGTTTGTCCACCTGATGCTTGCTCACGGTGTAAATTGAGCATGTAACTTCCACTTCTCTTTCTTCCATATTCCCTGTTCAGACTGACCATTCTTCAGGACAGACAGTATCTAACCATGCATATGGTCATTGTCAAATACAGTGTGTGATCAGTCCTGATCAGGACATATCCAGGTGTCAGTGCAGCCTAGATACCGTACACCTAAGGGCCCAAACCCCCGAGACTCTCTTTCACTCATCGCCTCTCTTTCGCTTTGTCCCTCTCCAGCCGAGGGGACTTAGTTCGTCCCCTTGCGGGACTACAGAACCTTGTGGATTGGGACTCCGCACTCGCTAAAAGTGTGTCTCATTCACAGTCCACTCATTCACACCAGAGTCTCCCCGAACCCAACCCGAGGCAAGATACGGTAGTTTTCCTTACCTCGGTCCATGCACAGCTTCACGGTCTGGGTTATCAGCAGTAATCCCAGTGCCTGTTCCCGATCCAGGCTGGACTATATGTGGGCTGTGTCTGTGTATGTCAGCGCTGGCCTCCCTTCTCCCCAGCGCTTCACAGAGCCTGTCTTCAGATTAACAGTCTTGGTCCTTTGCCGGATGTACCAAGACAACCCACCGCCCCCAATGGAACTGCTGAAATCAGCGGGGCGCACCTTCCTGTCTGTGGTGGCAAGAAATCTTCAGCAGGTGAGAAGATCCTGGACAAGCCCCCAAATTGTGAGAAACATCTCAAATAATTTTCTTCAGACAGGCTCTTCTGTGAAGCTATTTTATTCATGATTGCAATGGTGGGCTTAAATCCTTGGAAAACTCTCTACATGCTTCTTTCTTGGCTCATTTTGCTTCCCTTTTGAAGCAAATCCATTAGACTCAAAGAATTACTCATTTTGATCACTTCCATAAAGTTTCTCGCAGCAATTAGTTCTCGCACACAGAGTTACTTTTTCACACTGACAAATGAAAAAATTGGCAAAATTTGATGTATTTTACACATTGTGCTTCACGTTTCTTGTATAGATAGAACTTGAAAAACACAAGCATTTCTGGTAGGGGATCCAAGGTCTTTGACTTAAAGAGACTAGCACTTTATTTCTTTATTTCACTATTTACTCTGAAAAATCTTCCATCTTGAGTTTCACATAGTAATCCCATAAGAGGCACTGTCTGATCTGACACGTTCTGGCTAAAAGTTAGACTCATTTTTTATTCATGCAAACTACTAAAGGATTGGTGTGTTGGTATACACATATATAACACAAATATGGAATAGCTTCACAGAAGCTAGACTGAGTTTAGACTGAAACATCTAATAAGTTATGAACAATGCTTAAAAATAGGCAGCAGAAATTAGAAAAAAAAAAAAAAAAAAAAAAAAAAAAAACAGACTAAAAGTTTGGATGAGATAAATAGCCTTTGGTCATACTGAAGTCCAGGAAACAAGAGAGCCAAGAAGGATCCAAACTCACGTAATATAGCCAGAGGAAGGCATCAGCAGAAAGACAAAAGTCCATCCTACTGGGAACAATCCCTATCAAAGGGTAACAGAGTTTATTTGTAGAAGGCAGAGCTCCAACTTTGTTTACCAAGACAGATCCAGTGCAACAAAGCCCACTTGCCTCCTGCTTCCCTGGTAAATGATAAAGCAACTGAGTCCTCTCATCTCCAGAGTACCCAGGATGGTAAAACAGGATGTAAAGGCATCAATTAGAGGCAAAACAGGTAAGACTTCATTTGGAAACATGTGATGAGGCATATAGGAGGGTAGTCAATAATATGGGCTCAAAATAAAAATAATTTTATATCCTTCCACATCCAATCTGTCTTGGGGTTTCCTTATGAATTAAAACTATGTTAAGAAACAGTAGGCTACTCTGAGATATGAAAACAAACATGATCTGAAAACCATGTATTTTTCAGCAATTGGTTTTCATTAATTGTTCCCTTCTTTAAGTTTCCAAGCAAGGAGTGAAAAAATATATATCTAGGCAGAAAGTCAAAATTCTTTTAAAATGTGTGGTGTTTTTTTTTTTGTTGTTGTTGTTGTTGTTGTTTTGTTTTAATTTAATTTATTGCAAGCTGACTCCAGGAGGTAATTACAGACAGTTTTTTGTATTATTTTTGACACTGAGCCTAAAATTTAAACTGAGTCCTGTGAAGGATTTGACGTCTGTAAAGCACAGTCAAAATGATGGCCTTTTCCTGTAGTATGTTATGACGCTGGAAGCCCTGTGAGAAACAAATTTTCTAAGATGGCTTGCTGTTCAACTAGACTAGAGGGTGAGCCAAGACTCAAACCACAGGGTGACAGTGTTGTCCTAGAACTAGGGTAAGTGGCTAGGGGGAAGCACTGGTGGGTTAAATGTTTCTGTGTGACTGCAAACTAATTTAAGAAACAACAACAAATTGACTCTCATCTTGAGCATCTGTGTATTTGTTTGTGCAGGTTGACACAGCCCAGATTAGACATTCAATAGCACAGGCCTCTCCGAAAGAAATACATTCCCGAGATCCGCTCAGTTCAAGCCATAAAAGAGTTTTTTTTAACGATCAAACAATGGTGATGTGTGTCGTGGTTTAACCCATCCGGCAGCTAAACACCACGCAGCCGTTCGCTCACCCTCCCCCCTCCCTCTCTGGGACAG